GGCTCCATTTTTCGTATTTAAGTAGCGCCTCGAGTGAGTCACCCAGACGCAGGGGGTGGTAAATAACGCCTTGAGTTGCATAGATGGATGGCAGGAGTCAAGTGAAATACTTGAACCAGGGATATAGCAGACGGATCCTGCAGGGCAAGAGGGATACTCTGATAAGACCTAGGGAAGGAGGACTGTGTAACAATAGGACTGATGCTGATCCACATTCCCAGTACAAGGGTGAAGGGAGTGGAAAACCAGTGTGGGGTGTGGAGAGTTCTCATTAAAGCCACTCAAAATGGCACACCATACCACATTAAAATAAGCAAGTAAAAAATTTTGATATTGAAGGCATGATACGAGGATATAGGATTGTTGATTAGCCCAGGGCTGAAGGAGAGATACCATAACTGTTTAGCAGACAATCGTCAAGTTGTCGACTTCACCTGTCTCTTTAACGAGTTGTAGTGTTGTGCTAAGACTGGCAATGCTCATTAACGATGTCGATTACGATGCCAGCGAAATGTCTGAGAATGTACTATGTTCATGGTCCGACTTTGGATATTATCATGCATACAATGGACTCCATACCAGGTGCGTTCCTCTAAGTCTTCTTATCATTATGACCAAGTCGCGAAAACAAGGTCAGACCACCTCTATACAACGAAAGGAGACTGCGACCACGCAAAAGGCCAAGCCATCTTGTTCTTCATAACTTTGATTACAAAATTAATATATGAAAATACTAAAAATAATTTCGTTTTGCTAGGGAGAAATAATGAAGTAAAGTTGAATACAAGTATATATATGAAAAAAATCTTATAAAATTCTTATACAAAAAAATAGACTTAAAAAGAATATTTATTTATGTAAAAGCAATAGAACAGATTTGATATATTGAGTAATCACTCCATTCATAAAATTTTGCCACTTTTCAGGAAAGATGCGTAAAATGACACGAGCAAACAATCCATATGATCTGCAGTAAGTCGACCTCTAAACGTATGGTAGGGAACCTAAAGTGAGACCGACATATGGATAGAAGATAACATAAATTTGTGAGAAAGCCTTATGCATTCGAAAAGTTTATATAATAATGCAGTAATAATTTATACACAATTCAAATTTGTAAAAGTGATGAGGCGCTCAAGGAACTGAGCATTTAAACGGTGTGCTGCTTTGTACAGAAAAAGCAGAAAAGGCGCCACAATAAGATGCAGAATAGAAGGGCAATATATAGAGTTAGCTTTGGACAGAAGCGAGTAGGCACAGAGGCTCTTGGGTGATGTGAAGCACAGAGTTGTTTATCCTAGAATACAGGTCCGTTGGATGGCTATAATTGGGTCTTGACGTTAGGTAAAAGTATTTCTTTATAAGCAGAAGTCCAACTGACTTTGCCACGATGCAGATGCGATATATGAAGAAGCAGCGTTAGGAGAAGTGACACAAATTAGGAGCGGAATATGAGTGCTTAACGCTAGGGAGGGCTGGTCGGAAAAACTGGCTAGATAAGAGTTAAACCGCCGCACGGGAAAAGCCTCCTGGCTCTTGAAGAGCTGAATGTTGGAACTTTCTACAAGCAATCCACAGAGGCAAAGCAAGTTAAACAATGGAGTTAAAGGAGAGTGCGGGCTGAGCATGTAGACCTCTTAGTCCCAAAGAAGATGGCGCCATGGAAGGATTCGATGCAGTGCGTCAGCACTCACCCCGAATATAATGGAACAGAGAAAAATTAACTAGATACTTTGCGGCATATGAAAGCTTGCTTCTGAGTGGCGTTCTATGGTTGTATGAGGCAACGTCAGGTGGATCCAATGGCAGGCTTGGGCCCGAATGGAGAGGATGTGATTTTTTGATAATACGATTAAATCCTTGGATATGAAGACTGTTCGTGTTTGTGCATGATAGGAGAAAACTATATGCTGCCTAGTGGTCGATTCAGTCTCAAATCTCCAGATCAGATAGCAATGATAGGCCTAACCGAAAGTTCTAGGTGGAGGTAAGGATTTGGCCTCACATAAAGGGACTAAACTGAAGTAAAAAAGTGGGACTGAGAAAGTAGAAAACTAAAGTTGTGCTTTTCCTAGTGAGACAACCAACCTATTACCAATTTGTCTATTCAAAACTGTTCTAGTAAGTAAAGTAGCATGTGAAGAATGGATGAAAGGCCAAAAAACATACCTGATCGATAGAAAAAACTGATTGAGATCTCTGACTAAGCAGCCGATTTTTCCAGTTTTTTTGAGTCTATAGATTTGGTACTTCATTCAAACATCTCCAGATCAACCAGTCAGATATAAAGTTCATAATTGAGCAACCGAATTTTTTTCAGGTTGGCAACTAGAGGCTCGATTGCGTAGTCACATGAGCCTTCAGATCAAGCCAAAAGTGACTTGACAATAAATTCGTTACCTATTTCTCTGAATATTGGAACGTGCAATCAGTGCTAGTAGACGTCAAAAAGGATTTTTTACTATAGACGAATCAGGTTGGTTAGATTATTAAAAAAATGATCTTTATGTCCTCTTTTTAATTGAAAAAAGGTATTATAGAAAGCCCTAAACTTAAATAGAGCTTAAGTGTGACCTCATCCGAGTGGCAAGACTCACAAACGATGTCAACTAAGATTCAGGTGAACCATCTGGGAACGTAATAAGTCCCCAGTCCACACTGAAACTTAGCATAACTACCGTAGAAGAGAGCTTCGGATAAGGGGCGCCCAAGTAGGTCACCCTGACAACACGATCAAGTTGCGAAAATTAGGCCAGACCAACTCTATATATTAAAGGAGATTGCGAGCAAAACAGCGGTCACAATATCGCGATCTTCATATCTACTAATATGGTAGGTTTAAAAATATCCGGGCCAAGGCTAAAAAAATTGGCCCTAATATATAAGTGATAATGGACAAAAAAGTGAGCAGAAAATAGCCCTCCAATCCAACGAAATATCAGTTGCAGGTCCCTGAAAATAAGAAAGCACAAAATCTGATTCTAACCTGCCAATTCGCAAGAAATGGTGAGCTCGTGTTTAAAACGGTGGGGTCCGTTCGAATTGGGGATGGGAATATGGGCCTGGGCTGGCCAGTAGCTTGCACAGATATCTCGATTTGTTCACGCAGCCGAGACATTTCAGTCTGCGCACATCTGAGTTCAGCCTCAACGGCATCGCGCCTGAGAATTCAAACAAAGCATCAAAGGTTATAGATTACCAATAAAGAGGCAAAGTGAAATAAAATTATAAAAGCAAAAATGGAGTACTGTGTAAGAATTTAAGCAGGTTTTAATGAAGGAAAATATGGATTAGACAGTGAAAAAATATATAGATTACTAAACTAAAACAAATTTATTGTATATCTGGAAGACCAAGGTATGAAGATCACGATAATCGGGTCTCTATTTTAATCACTGTCTCCTTTCAGCTGTTTGACTTCGTTTGTGCAACTTGGTCATATTGTCAGATTCCTGGTAAAAGCATCTCGTTCGGAATCTTCTGCAAAATTAATTATGATACTTTCCAGTGTCAGAGCATAGGAAATAACGCACGGATATCGTCGTAGTGACCGAGTAAAATCACTGATTCGGAGAGATAAAAAGCGGAACTTTAACGTCACGAGTAAGACTATAGTAAAACTTGAATGAAGCAGGTTGCAGACTGGAAGGCCCAAGTTTGATAAGCATTTCCAGTAAGATTTTGGGATAAGAAAAACCAGTTGCGAGTGTGAATAAGCCCCATTAAGTCGCACCTCTGGAATGTAATAGTAAAGTGGGCAATACGAAGATATGGGAAGGGTGAATGTAGCAAGACAGGAGAGGTAGTATAGCAGTGCAGCAGAAAGTTGGTCAATGAGTGGGCATTATCTATCTCTTTAAAGATATGTAATTAGGTGCTAAGAGTAGTAAGGCTAACTGACGATAATGATTATGATGCTGGAGAAACATCTATGGATATACCAATTACAGGGTCCGAAGCTGGAAACTATCACGATCATTATAGCAAAGGACTCATGAAAATGTGCATTTACTTAGATTCCACTTAAAACACAGACAGGTTGCGAAAACGAGGCCGTCCCATCAAGTTCCAACATTAGGATATTCCATCGAAAACAAACTCTTCTTTTTCCTTGTCTTCTTTTACTACACCTAATTTAGCTGTGACAAGATTGCGTAATAATAAAAATGGAAAGCGGATGATTGGCCGCTAAGCAATAAGACTAGTAACCCTGCTCATTTACAGTAGCAGCCTAAGCTTTGCTAAAGGCCTTACGATTTCAAACGTATTCTGGATTCATCAATTCAACGAGTCCCTAAAAATGGTAAAGTAAAAATAGGCTTTTTATACTTTCAAAAATGTATCCCAATCCAAAGTTTATTAAGAGAGAAGCATCTTTTGCTCAGTCAAGACAAGTATAGTTATTTGAAAGAATATTTATTTAACCTTTGCAGACTAGACTATAATAAATCTAGCTTAGGCTACACAAAAATCAACATTATTTTGCGTAGACCCAAATAGCATAAGTAATAAGTAAATTTTGGCTCTGAAAGAAATCTTATTCGGAAGAGCTTTGAACGTATAAAATAATCGTAAAAGGAATAATACAATAAGAGAATGAGGAAGATGAGCAAAGTCCCAGGTAAATGAAAGCAGATCAAGAATCTACCTGTGCAGCATATTGTCCCGCTCTTGCTTAGCCCAAACTAAGAGAGTTGTCGGGTCGGCGTCAGAAAAGCCAGCTGAGTTAGGAGTGTCCTCCCCACCACAAGAGGGAGCAGGGCAATGAGTATGAGAACTACATTCTTCTAACTCCTCATTCATTAATCCTGAATCGTTATGAGCCGCCGTCTGCCTAAACGCAAGCTAGAACATAGTTTTTTTGTGTAATAAGAGAAAGTAGAAAAGCAACTAAAATCTCAGGTGGGAGGAAATAAGGAATATAGTATGCGCCTATAGACATAGGCAAATCTATTCGATGGAAAAAAACGAATTAAATAAATCAAACAAAATCGTAATTAAATGAAAAATTAAGACGATAAAGTAATTAAATTTTGTGGTAGGTCCAGCAAGCTTAAGTCTGTATTTCACCAAAAAATGTGTCTGTCTGTGCATGTGTATTAACGTCCGTAGGCAAAACCGGCCATAACATTAGCTAGTGGTTGTGAAGAAGTAAGGACCGAAGATTCTGCAAGCCGGTAAGTAACTCTAGTTGAGATGTTTAGATGATGAGAAATCAAGCCAGTACGCGTGTAATTCCGTCATAACCCAGTAGTCTGGGGTTATTCACTTTTAATAAACCAAGGACAGGCAAAACTAGAGTTGCGATCTCGAACGTGGTTAATGAACTTAATACGCATGAGAAACGAGTGGAAACTTAGTTAGAACCAGCACTGAACTGACAAGTTAAGTGCATACTTTTGCTCGGTAGCTGAACACCCCCACTCTCTGAGGGAAGTGTCTTAGACATTCTAATGGATAATTGATCCGAAACAACATTTTAA